AATTGGCGGAGACTAGGGAAGACCTCCACAGCCCTGCCCTAATTGGAGGAAATTACAAGCATCTTGGCGCTGATTGGCTGAGCTGGCAGGGTCGCTCCGGCGCTGCCACATACGCCTCGAACAACTTCGCTATAAAACCAAAAAAAAACTGTATCGTAACATTAATTGAATAATCATTTAACATCAAAAATATTTTCAAAGTTGGGTACAAACAGTAGATTAAATTATACCTAAAAAAAAATCTTTAATTTATACCTAAAAGGCTTTTAATTTATATATAAAAAAACCTTCATTTTGTACTGAAAAGGCCTGTAAGTTATACCTAAAAGGCATTTAATTCTGACCACAAAAAGAGACATTGCAACAGTGTGTAAACTGAGTCATTTTCCTCCTTAAGTGATGAAAATTTATTTGACCAGTTAATCACTGTGCTATGAGAGTAACCGTAGCAATACCCCAGCATTCTCAGTTCCCCCAACCTTCAGTACGTCACACACACTCATCACAACATCCTTCTCAAATCATGTGCTTGCATGTGTGTCTTTTTTTTTTTAGTACACTAAAGCTCGTACAGGGTGGATAAGGATTACTTTCAACACAAGGGAAATAGTGGCAGTAGTGACACTGTTCAAATCACTTGTGCTCTCGCGCAGTGTTGTTCACTGTTGACGGCCCCGTTCAAGGCAAGGTGGATATCAGAGCTGGAACAGATACAGAGATCAGTTACAGCCAGCATAGAGTAATAAAGTATTTAAATTACTGGAATGGAGGAGAGAGAGACATATACATGATAATGTATACGTGGAAGGTACTGAGGGCCTAGTCCCTAGTCTGCATACTGCCATAACATCTCACAAGACTAAGAAATATGGGAGAATGTGTAGAATAAACCTGGTGAAAGGCAGGGGCGCCTTGGGCACAGTAAGGGAACATTGTATCAACATCCGTGGTTCCAGACTATTCAACAACTCGACAAGCACCCTCACCAAATGCCGGATCAACCAGGCAGTGTGGACCAGCAGGATGCCAGCAGCAACAGCTTGGTTGACCGGGCAATCACCAGACAAACCCGGCAGGGAACCGGGCTCCGGGAGTAGAGAAATTCACGAAAAACATCATAGGCGTAATTAAACTCTCCGGTCCTGTGTGTAAGAAACTCCAGAACATGCCCCCGGCCCCATCATCGCCGCCGCCCCCGCCCCCGTCATCGCCGCCGCCCCCCCGTCATCGCCCCCGCCCCCGTCATCGCCGCCGTCCCCGCCCCCGTCATCGCCGCCGCCCCGCCCCCGTCATCGCCGCCGCCCCGCCCCCGTCATCGCCGCCGCCCCCGCCCCCCTCATCGCCGCCGCCCCCCCCGTCATCGCCGCCGCCCCCGCCCCCGTCATCGCCGCCGCCTCCCGCCCCCGTCATCGCCGCCGTCCCCGCCCCCGTCATCGCCGCCGCCCCCGCCCCGTCATCGCCGCCGCCCCCGCCCCTCATCGCCGCCGCCCCGCCCCCGTCATCGCCGCCGCCCCCGCCCCCGTCATCGCCGCCGCCCCGCCCCCGTCATCGCCGCCGCCCCCGCCCCGCATCGCCGCACGCCGCCGCCCCCGTCATCCCCCCGCCCGTCCCCGCCGCCCGTCATCGCCGCCGCCCCCGTCATCGCCGCCGCCCCCCCCGTCATCGCCGCCGCCCCCCCCGTCATCGCCGCCGCCCCGCCCCCGTCATCGCCGCCGTCCCCGCCCCCGTCATCGCCGCCGTCCCCCCCCCGTCATCGCCGCCGCCCCCGCCCCCGTCATCGCCGCCGCCCCCGCCCCCGTCATCGCCGCCGCCCCCGCCCCCGTCATCGCCGCCGCCCCCGCCCCCGTCATCGCCGCCCGCCCCCGCCCCCGTCATCGCCGCCGTCCCCGCCCCCGTCATCGCCGCCGCCCCCGCCCCCGTCATCGCCGCCGCCCCCGCCCCCGTCATCGCCGCCGCCGCCCCTCATCGCCCGCCCCCCCCGCCCCCGTCATCGCCGCCGCCCCCGCCCCCGTCATCCCCGCCGCCCCGCCCGTACGCCCCCCCCGCCCCCGTCATCGCCGCCGCCCCCGCCCCCGTCATCGCCGCCGCCCCCGCCCCCGTCATCGCTTCCGCCCCCGCCCCCGTCATCGCCGCCGCCCCCCGCCCCCATCATCGCCGCCGCCCCCGCCCCGTCATCGCCGCCGCCCCCGCCCCCGTCATCGCCGCCGCCCCCGCCCCCGTCATCGCCGCCGTCCCCGCCCGTCATCGCAGCCGTCACCGTCATCGCGCCGTCACCGTCGGAGAAGATCGGCACTTTGCGTGACTACATTTCATGATCTCAAATTTACACGTCTGGAGAAAGAAGAAAAAGTGGAAAGAAGAGGAAAAGAGAAAGGTGAAAGGAAAAAAAAAACAGGATGAAAGGAGAGAGAAAAATCGAAAAGAGAAGAAATGGAGGGAGGTAAAATAGGGGGAAATATGTAGAGAGAGGATAATGTAAGGGAAAAGAGATGGATAAATAGAACAATGTAAGGGAGAATATGTGGAGGGAGATGAAATAGAGTAGGATATAATGGGAGATAGAATGATACAAGGGAGAAAATATTGAGGGAGATTAATACAAAGGAAATAGATAGCTGTCTATTTGCATTGACTGACAAATGTGGATATTACTACTATTACCCACTTAAAATACCTCTTAAGTTCCTACCTTGGATTATCTCTTAATTGTCCCCTTAAATTCCCCTTTAAATCGTATGTTGCTAATTAAGACATTTCTTTTACTGCATCATAAGACTTATGTATATTGCTAGTTAGTTTTTGTATTACCAGTTAAGACTTATGCTGCCAGTTAAGGCTTTTATGCTGCCAGTTAAGACTTTTATGCTGCCACTTAAGGCTTTTATGCTGCCACTTAAGGCTTTTATGCTGCCCGTTAAGGCTTTTATGGTGCCACTTAAGGCTTTTATGCTGCCCGTTAAGGCTTTTATGCTGCCCGTTAAGGCTTTTATGCTGCCAGTTAAGGCTTTTATGCTGCCAGTTAAGGCTTTTATGCTGCCAGTTAAGGCTTTTATGCTGCCAGTTAAGGCTTTTATGCTGCCACTTAAGGCTTTTATGCTGCCAGTTAAGACTTTACTGACAGTTAAAGCTCTTTATTAACAGTTAAGACTTTTTTTTCCGTTCACTTACGGTTCTTTGCCGTTAATTAAGACTGTTATAACTAACTGTATCTGAGAGTGGCGAGTAGCAAGTAACCTTCACAACACTGAACAAATGAACTTGTTTTGGCTGAACTTTTGAACACGGGCAGTGCGATGTACACACACACACACACACACACACACACACACACACACACACACACACACACACACACACACACACACACACAGTTGGAAGCTGAAGACACAGATGAATCACAGGGATGTTAGGAAGTATTTCTTCAGCCACAGAGTAGTCAGTAAGTGGAATAGTTTGGGAAGCGATGTAGTGGAGGCAGAATCCATACATAGCTTTAAGCAGAGGTATGATAAAGCTCACGGTTCAGGGAGAGTGACCTAGTAGCGATCAGTGAAGAGGCGGGGCCAGGAGCTCGGACTCGACCCCCGCAACCTCAACTAGGTGAGTACACACACACACACACACACACACACACACACACACACACACACACACACACACACACACACACACACACACACACACACACACACACCCTGTTTTCTGTGTTTTTGTTACAGTTGTCCCTCTGTGATGTATGGTGATGCTCAAGTCTCTCTCTTATACCTGAAGGATGTTTTCAGGGGTCAACGCCCCCGCGGCCTGGCCCCAGACCAGGCCTGGTAGATCATGGCCTGATTAACTAGGCTGTTACTGCTGGCCCCACGCCAGGCCAACGCACGAACTTGTCCAGTTCCCTCTTTTCTGAATGGTTTTATTATCTGGATGGTGTGGCTTCTTTTTTCAACAAAATTGGCTACAACAGCGATATGTTGGTACCCCGTTCTGTATGATAGCTTTTGTTCCCCCTATTTAACTATATTCCCTGCTATATTCCGTCACACAGTGTGGATTGCTGACAGTGTTGAAATCTTGTCTGAGGTGGGAGAGTTGGGTGTTGGTGGGGAGGGTGGAGAGGAGAGGATGGTGGGGGATCTGTTGGACCTGGGGAGAATAGTGAAGGGATGTTGGATGTAAAGTGAGGGGGGAGGTATTTAGATATGGGTGTTGCGAAGGGTGATTGAGAGGTGAAGAAATTGGTGATTGGTGGCAGGAATAAAAGAGGGAGGGAGGTGGGGGATGCTGGAGAGGAGGGAAGAGGGGATAAGACGAGTGAGGAAGTAGTGGAGAGGTGGGGGGAATATAACAGTCTCATAACAATCATTGCTGTATTTGTAACCACCTTTTTCTTTTATTTTCACTTTATTTCTTCTGTTTCAATTCTTTTCCTCTCCTTACTACCCGTTTTTTGGTTTTCTTCAACCCTGTTTTATCTTATGTTCTTCTTCATTTATGTCCTTCATTTCTGATTTTCGTCATGGATGGAGGTTCCACAAGTACCGAGCTACAGTGACAACCTTGGGGAATATCCTTCAGCGTGGGGATATTGCAGTTCAGAGTGTTGATTGAATTGTGATGCCTGCCCACTTTTAACAAGACGGCTGTTGAATGAGTGATGGTGAATATTTCCTTGCAGACGGCCCGTGTGTTAAAAGAAAAGACAATTTTGTAAATGCTTCAAGAATTAAGGTCTTTACTGGTGGGCTAAAGAGCGAGGATGGAGTTGGCTTTGAGGTGATCGTCGGTGAGGACTTGTAATGAGCATTGATCAGTCATGTGTGTTCAGAGGAGCTCCTCGCAGTCATCGCTGCTCTGTTGTCATAACCAACCTAGGCGGATCCTGTGTCACTGTCCACTGACATTCTCAGTTTCCTAAGCACTCTGTATGCTTTTGTCCATCCCGTAGCCCAAAAGACTAAGGAATGGTTAGCTCATCTCCATGCCTAGAACAAGGACATAGAATGCGTTCGTGTCTGCGTCAAGCTTGGTTTCCGGGAAATAAACAAGAGGATGCCAAGGCCAAGTTTGCTGTTTCGAGCTTCAAGCAGACTCCTACCTTGCAGTGGCTTTATGGTCTGTATATGTCACTCTGTCTTAAGGAAATGGTGGGGCCAAGTGGGTCTTACACTCGAGCAGAAAGTTACGCAGAGTTTGGCTGTACCTTAGTGTTTTGCTCCTCCCCCTCTTTTAAGACAGTTCTTTCTCTTATTGAGACTGGTACACACACGCACCTCGGGTACACACACACACACGCACCTCGGGTACACACACACACACACACGCACCTCGGGTACACATACACACACGCACCTCGCCCACGACTGCTTGCCGACAGTCGCTCCTGCTTCACTTGTGATGTGCATCATGCACATCACAAGAGGACCATTTTGACCATTTGCACACAGCTTGGGCTACCCACAGTTCCCAGCACCCCTTCCCTCCCCCCAACACCGATAAGTACCCCCCCTATCCCCCACACCTAGCACTCCCATCCCCTCCACCCCTACCATCCCTCCTTATCGGATATTTACCTAGTGACTGTGTCCACCAGTGAATCTGAGAGTATTACTCAGAGCAGCCATCGTATTTCTGGAAAGCTTATTGCAGCATCCACAGTTTTGGAAAGGTTACTTGATTTATACTAGAGGTGTACGCTAATGTTTTTCTCGGTGGGATTAATGAGTGATCGTTCGTGTTGAAATGTCTCGGACGAGAGGACGAAAGTTGGTGTGTTGGTGAGTGAATGTTTACGGAGAGAACGTTGGTTAGTGGTTTGATTTTTGAGGTCGGATCTGGGGAGGGTGCTAGGCGGATCAGGAATATTTTGGTGGAGATAGTGGTTGTGAGGGTTGGTGTGAGTGGGATAGTGGTTGTGAGGGTTGGTGTGAGTGGGATAGTGGTTGTGAGGGTTGGTGTGAGTGGGATAGTGGTTGTGAGGGTTGGTATGAGTGGGATAGTGGTTGTGAGGGTTGGTGTGAGTGGGATAGTGGTTGTGAGGGTTGGTGTGAGTGGGATAGTGGTTGTGAGGGTTGGTGTGAGTGGGATAGTGGTTGTAAGGTTTGGTGTGAGTGGGATAGTGGTTGTGAGGGTTGGTGTGAGTGGGATAGTGGTTGTGAGGGTTGGTGTGAGTGGGATAGTGGTTGTGAGGGTTGGTGTGAGTGGGATAGTGGTTGTGAGGGTTGGTGTGAGTGGGATAGTGGTTGTGAGGGTTGGTGTGAGTGGGATGGTGGTTGTGAAGGTTGGTGTTAGTGGGATGGTGGTTGTGAGGGTTGGTGTTAGTATGAGTGGGATGGGGTTGTAGTTTACCTGTAGTCGATTCGGGGATCACTTTCCAGCGGCCAGGTCCCAGACATCTTTGCTGACGGTTTTGATAAAAATCAGGCTGTTCGTGCTAGCCGCAAACAGCCCATGGCAGGCACAACAGCCCAGCTCATCAGGAACTAACTTAAAGGAACTTATCAGATGGACCCAGACTTTTCAAACATCTTACCAGAAGATCTCACAAACACTGATAGTACAAGTATACCTGGAGGGTATTCCGGGGGTCAACGCCCCCGCGGCCCGGTCCATGACCAGGCGTATAAGTCTTCAAGAGAAAACAAACAACTAGATGAATACAAATAGGAGGCGTCTGTCTGGCTCTCTGTAGACTAAGGATCGAGCCTTCAGCACGTCTTGCACCGAATGACCCACATGGGTTTAGCTCTTACAATGAATTATTCGTTTCAGGAGGAACCTGGACAAGTATCTCTAAATGCCAGATTAACTGGGCAGTGATGGAGATGTGGGCCAGCGGGCAGCCAGCAGCAACAACCTGATTGATCAGGCAAGCCCAGGGCCGGGCTCCGGAAGTAGATAAACTCCCGAAACTCTCAAAGGTATATCAAAGCCAAAGGTATATAGTATTACGGCAGTATTGGGAGTGAGGATTGTATTACTTGGTAGTGAGAATTGTGGTAGTTGTGGTGAGGACAATAATAGTGGTAGTAATTGTTGATGTGGTGGGGTGGGTGAAGCGAAGTGTGGTGATTGCGAATTGTGGTAGGAGTTTCTGATGGTAGATATATTAAACGGCATTAACTAAGCAAATAGCGATACACAACCTGCACATAGAGAGGAGCTTATGACGACGTTTCGTTCCGTCTTGGACCATTTACAAAGTCACAAGCTTCTCACTGTGTGCGGGTTGCTTGTGTATTGTTCGTCACGCTATTGTGCCTTTTTTGTTTGTCATATAACGATAGTTGACATAGGTGGGTATCTTGATGGTCCTTATGACCATCGCCCCCGCGTCTCGGTCCCAGACCAAGCTACCTTTTAATTGGAACGGAAATATTATATAAATAAGAATTCTGAATGCGAGAAGCAGGTAAGATTTCGACCTATAAATGCTGACCGTTCACGACAAAAAAAAGGCGAGCAATCCTGCCAGAGTGCAAAACTTTTAGCAGCCTTCTGCTTTATATTCGTATGATAGGTTGATAGTATCTCCGTGGATGGTTGCTGTCTACCAGCCTACTACCCTAGATGGTGGTGATAATAGTGGTTGGTGATGGTAGATATAATTGAGATGATAGTGATGTGATGGTGACTGGTACACTAGTTGTCCCCTGGTTCCCTAGTCTCTATTTCTCGTCCCTAGTCCCTGACTCCTGCATCTAGGCCCTGACTCCTGCATCTAGTCCCTGACTTGTTAAGGTTGGCCCAGGAGCTGAGTCTTGACCCCTTGAACACAGCTGGGTTAGTACAGCCAGCACTTCACGCTCATTAATTTTAAATTGAGATGATGGGATAATTTTATCTTGTAGTACAATACTGTATGTGCTGGCACACTGTTCGTTGCACACTGACCGTGTGCACCACAAGCGCGCTGTTGTGCATATCACTTCACACACACACATCACACCACACACACACACCACACACACCCACACATAACCATACAATGACATATACCTACAACGACGACACACTGCCTGTCACCACACATGCTACCACACACAGCCCACTGCACACCACACACCAACACACAACCACACACACACACCACAACACACACCACACACAACACACACACACACCACACAAACACATGCACCACACACATGCACCACACACATGCACACATAACACATGACCACATACAACACATGCACACTACAACATTACACACCACACACACATTACCACACACACACATACCACCACACACACATCACACACACACACATACCACAATGCCACACACACACACACACACCACATACCATGCACCACAACATGCACCACACACACTGAACCACACCAACACAGCCACACACACCACACACAACTGTACCACACACACACATGTACACACACACACACCATGTACCACACACACACAGCACACACACATGTACCATCACACACACCATGTACCACAACAAAACCACATGTACCACACACACACATGTACCACACACACACATGTACCACACACACATAACACACAACATGTACCACACACACACATGACCACCACACACAGACCACACACACACATGTACCACACACACACATGTACCACACACACACATGTACCACACACACACATGTACCACACACACACATGTACCACACACACAATGTCACCCACACACCAACATACCACACACACACATGTACCACACACACACATGTACCACCACACAATGACCACACACACACACATCACACACACACATGTACACACACACATGTACCACACACAATCCCACACACAAAATGTACCACACACACAGACCACCCTACACACATCCACCACACACACCTACACACTTACCACACAAGACCACAACACATCACACAACACACACCACACACCACCACCAACACACACACATGCACCACACACACACACACACATGCACACACATACACACATGCACCACACCACACAACACATCACACACACACACACAACACACACACACACACACACACACACACACACACACACACACACACATTCTATCTACTCCATGAGATTAAATCCCGTTCTCTAAAAACAGGCTCGAATACCTGTACTCCAACTCCGAAGGCACCGAAGGAACACAGGAGACATGACCACGACGTTCATGATTCCTAAAGGTGGTAGCGGTGTGGACGAGAGTGCACAGGTGGAAGCTAAATACGACGTTAAGCGCTAAACCCGTGTGGATCATTCAGCGCGAAACGTGATACGCCCCTCCGTCATTGTCCTGACAGGTGAATACTGGATATCACAGAACGGGTGAGGTTCGAACCCATGGCCAGCGAATCCTAAAACTCTCAGGCCCACATGGATTTAGCGCTTAACATGAACTATTAAATTGTGTGGATTTATGAGGAACAGCGGGTGAAATTTGTTACCCCACAAATATTAGACACTTGTTCAACATATGGGAATCTTTATTGAGGAAACGTTTCGCCACACAGTGACTTCATCAGTCCAATACAAAGAAGAACCGTGTAAAGAGAAGAGTAGTTTGAAGTACTCAGTCTGGAAGCTGAGGGACTGATTACCTCAAACTTGTCTCTTTACACTTCTTCGTATTGGACTGATGAAGCCACTGTGTAGCGAAACGTTTCCTCAATAAAGATTCCCATATGTTGCATAGTGTCTCATTCTTCAACTCGCCATGACGTCTTGGTAAGAATCTCATGTGGGCGAAACGTTGCACCAATAAAGGTCGTCTTTTGATGTACGTGTCCTTTTTTTTTATTTTAATCCACTGTCATGTTTCGTCAGATGTGTTTTGTGTTGTATTTATGTCCGCCATGTTTTGTGTGCCGTGTTCTTTGCCGTATGTTTTGCGTGCCTTGTTTTGTGTGTCGTGTTTGCCGTGTGTTTTGCGTCGTGTTAAGTGTGTTGTGTCGTGCTGGACACTAACTTGTGTTATGTTGTGTTTCAGGTGGCGGGAGTGTGAGCGTGTCTGCGTGCGAACACCGCTACTCCTCGGCTGCAGGGGCGCCGCCCCCGTACTCCAGACTCCCTCCTGATGGACATGAGTTCCCTAGCAGCTACGCAGAAGGTCTTCCTGACAAGCTGTCCCGCTTCGCCCGCTACTCCCGCCTGGCCATGGAGCTAGACAGCCCTACTGGCGCTCCACCCACCACCCCCACCACGCCCACTCCACGCACCCGCTCTGCCCCGGGCACTCCCTTAGGCCCTCCCCCACCCATACCCCGCTCTTCCCCAACCAACTCCAAAACCTACACAGCTGAGAGAACGCTAGAGGTGGGCGGCAAGTGGGTGAGCGGTGACGAGAGGAGATCCAGAGAGCCGACGCCCACACGCGGCCGCTGGCGTCGGCAAGACGAACGCAGCGAGAAGAGCGTCAGGGATAAGATTGCCATGTTCTCCACAGACGGGCCCGACCAGCCGCACCCGAAGACCCGGAAGCTGGACAAGGTTGAGGGGGACGACAGCACAATGAAGCGAGCCTTTACCGAGGACGACGTCAGGCTGGACCACTCCAAGACCTCTAGTGGCAAGTGTGGCCGCGAGGCGCACAATGGCGCTCGCTCCCTCAGCAAGACCTCAGCTTTCAGCTCTATGATTAACGTCAGCACAGCAGAGTCCAAGGACAACGTCAAGCTCATGTCGACGGCCTCGAGTGAAGTCGACATAAGACAGGAGATGCCACCACCTCCCCGTCGACACGAGATGAGGGAGGAAAAACGGGCAGAGAATGACTCTGCCACCCCAGGCCTTCATGGTCGATCTCAGAGTCTGATTGACATTGGGCGGTCGACTCTGACCAAACGTCACAGCGTCGGCGCCTACGATAGACCCTCAGTGTACCAGTACGGCATCGAGAAGCCCGAGGAGAGGGAGCGGCGGACGTCACTCACAAATCTCATAGAACAGAGACGGAAGAGCTTCGGGTGCAAACTGCGGGGTCTGGTGATCCCTGAGAGCAGGAGCAGCGACGCGCCCGACAAGACGGCCATCGACCTCCCCCGCATCGCCAGCGTACCGCCCTCGCCGGCCAACAAGACCATGTCGCTCCCGCGGGAGGGCCAGCGATCCCCGAGGCTCTACAAGGCCGACTCTATCTCTAGCATAGACTCTTGTGAATCCAACACAAGTAGACACAGCTCTCTGAATGCTCCGCCTTGGAAGAGTTACAACACGAGTACCTTGCCCAAGTACTCACCGGCGTTCAAGAGGAAGAACATGAGCGTGTTCAGCAAGAACGACACTTTGCCGCCTCCTAGCGGGCGAACACACGGCACCCGCAGCGTCTCCCCCACCAGCGACTCTTCACACGCCTCACCTGTCCCTCCAGTACACACACCCATTAAGAGCATGGAGGGACTCACGACGTCCGGCTCTGAACACAGTTTCGAATACTCCGACAGTAGATATAGCAATGAGCGACACAGCTACAGCCAGCTCCCTCTGTCGCAGAAAAATTCGTACGACTCTCGCCTCAGTAGGGCCGAAGACAGTGATAATGACTCAGCAGTAAGTTCCACTCAGTCTAGCTTCTCCCAGGGTATGTCTCCCCCGTCTTCACCAATGCCTGAGCAGGATGAGCAGGACGAACATCGATCCAGAGTTTACAGGGCTCATCTCTCGCCACAGAGCTCCATAGACGAGCAGGAAGCTGCTAGAAGAGTACTGAAGAGTGGCAGCATCGAAGCTGAGAATAGAAGAAACGTCATCAATTCAGCAAGATGCAGCTCAGGGCGGAGCAGCGACGAGCAGCTGACTCCTGAGATCATCCGGAAATACTCCACTTCAGACAGAAGCGAAGAATCCGACAGGTTCCCACAGCGCTTGGACACAGAGCTCCGTGACGGACCGAAAGTGACAGGCCTTCGCCGTCAGCCATCCACATCCTCCACGTCATCCACTGCTTCCTCACGTAGGTCTTCCCATGATTCATCCAGGCGTAATTCCAGAGATTCTGTCATCCACATCACTAAATACGATGAGGCGAAAGTGTCAGCGGAACCGGTGTACTTCGACCAGGAAGGAGAAATGTACAAGGAGTCACAGTTAAAAGTAGCGTATCTAAATGAAATTGTGGATAACTTTGAACAGCTTAACGAGCCAGTAAATGAGGAGGTGATCGCAGAGGTTCCCATGTCTGCTTCAAGGCAAGTGGCGGAAAGTTCAGAGTCAACTGAGCCAACCACATTGACGACACAGACCTTACCCAGTCGCCGGTCAGAGCGTTGGGCGGCCCTCGAAATGAAATACGGATCTTCCAATCCAAACTCTGATATGGATACAAAGATTCAGAGGTTAAGAAGATCGTCAGACTCTACGCCAACAGAGAGAACGAAAAAAAAGTCTGGCGGCTTCCGTGCCTTGGCTGAAAAATGGCAGCAGCGGGCTGAGGAAGACACAGTCTCCTCTCCACAGACGCAGCAACAGCAGCCACAGCAGCAGCAGCAGCAACAACAGCAGCAGCAGCCGCAGCTTACTCGCAGGGAGAGTAGCACTCGCCTAGAGGCTCCCACTCGCCTTTATGAGGAACGATCGTCGGGTACATCCACGCTTGAGAGACCAACAAGACCCTCTAGATTGTATGATTACTCGGCAGAAGTAGACGGTGGTCGCCCGTCCCGCCCCGTCTGCCTGTACAGCGAATCTGCTGTCACGCCTGCCAACCCCAAGAGTGAGGACCACGAGGAGAGCCTCGACATACCTCGGGCAGAAGTGCCAGACCGCAAACTTTCCATGCCGGAGTATGGCAGCGGCGGTATCAAGATGCGGGACCGTCGTGAGGGCGGCGCGGGCGGCGCACCTTCACGCCCCACTAGCCTGATCGAGGGCGGCGACGCGGGGGTCATGGATTCGCACTACCTTAGTACCGGGGCGCCTCTTAGCCCCGCAGCTTCCACCGACTCTCGCGACGATCTCTGCTCAACCCCTGAGGCATCGCTCTCCCGCACCGCCAGCAAGGAGGTTCTCGACGCCTTCTCCCGTCCTCGAGCCTCCATCGGTGTGTCAATACCTCGCCCGGGGGCCTCCAATACACCCAAGATGGCGGACATAATGCGAGCTTTCGAACGCCACGACTTGAGCAAGCGAGGGCCACCAGGTGGAGGGTCGTCGCACCCACGTATGTCGTCAATAGACTCAACGACGAGCGAAGACGGCTCTATGGGAGCCCATTACGGCTCGGTCTCGTCTCTAGCCTCAGGTCAACGAGATCAGTATGGCTCCATCACCTCCCTAGCCTCATCCACTTCGCTCATATCTCCACAGGTAAGATGATTAGACTTCTTCCCTTCACAGATTTTTCCATATCTTCATTATTTTTTGTTGTCTTGGTCAAGAACAATCTGTCGCTGAATAAATGGTTGAAAAAAACCGACAAGTTGATGAATGAGACACTTGTGCAACATTTGGGTATCAATATTCTGGAAATGTTTCGGCAGCCAGTGGCTTCTTCACTCCAATGCAGAGATGAGGAAGATGAGTTGGAGGTGATCAGCCCCTCAGCCTATAGTCGATGTGTTCAACCCCGCCTCATAACTCTTAATGAGCTACTGTCCTGACTCCTGGTCTCCGGGAACAGATACCACAAATCTACCAAAACTTTGTGTGTGTGTGTACTCACCTATTTGTGGTTGCAGGGGTAGGTAGAGTCATAGCTCCTGGCTCCGCCTCTTTACTGATTGCTACTAGCTCTCCTCTCTCCTGCTCCATGAGCTTTGTGTGTGGGGGGGAGGGGGTGCGCGCGTGAGCGCGTGCCCGCATTCTGCAACAGCAGGTGTGTACCAGTGTGTTTCGTTGCCTTCCAGCCTATTTTCGTTCAGCCATCCACCAGACAAGGCAGGTTCCTCTGTCTCGACTCTAAGAAAGATCTCTCAACCTAATGCAAATAAATTGGTAACAAAAACTGTCACCTCTGGGAAGATTGTATCACTTTAATGATGTCCTTGTTGGAGGAGAGCGAGTTGAGAGGGAAGTGTAACGGCTCTCTCTCTCTCTCTCTCTCTCTCTCTCTCTCTCTCTCTCTCTCTCTCTCTCTCTCTCTCTCTCTCTCTCTCTCTCTCTCTCTCTCTCTCTCTCTCTCTCTCTCGCTCTCTCGCTCTCGTTACCTCAGCCAGAATACAATAAGATTTCCAAGCCACAGAAACAAACAATTCCTTTCCTCATTGTTATTCTAATTTAAAAAGTTAAAACCCGTGTGGGTCAGCGCAAGGACTGGTATTCTGTTCTTCAATGATCAGATTATTTTTTTCTACTGGAGACAAAGATTTTTTCTGGGTCAAAATAGGTCAACTCTGCATCTAGTCAATGTCTGCAGGCAAGTTCCGGGTCACGAGAAGACAACACATGGCCGTGCTAGGAGCCTCGAATCTTAAATAATATTCCTACTTAGTGAGGGGTTCCCGGGGGAGTCATCGCCCCGCGGCTAGGTCTCATACCAGGTCTTTTCTGACTGACGCCCTGGTGTCAGGCTGTTGGCACTTGCAGCAGGTTTACCAAGTTATCCCTTAGTGTACCGATTCATCATAGATTGTTAAAATGAACGGATAAAGGGATGACGGATAGCGGCCAATCTATCCACTGTGGATAGCTGGAGGGAAAGAAAGCTTGGCATAATCATGAATAGTGAACAGATATTAGTGAACATCTAGATAGATATACGCGTGTATACCTGGAGGTTATGGTTACCTGGAGGTTATTCCGGGGATCAACGCCCCCGCGGCCCGGTCTACGACCAGGCCTCCAAGATTGAAATATCGGCGGCAACACTTCAGGGCTGACATTTCTTCACACTGCCTCGAAAGGAACTCACCCTGTTACCAACAATGTAATTGTTATTTAACTGCGTGACTGGAATGTGTGTGGGGGGGGGGGGTGAGTGGGTAGGTAGGTGGGATGGATACTTGTTGTGTTTCCCGAGGAATCATCCATCGGGTATGCCTCTTATGGCAGACAAACGCTGCTGTCAAAAGACACGTATTGAAATAAAAAGTGATTGCGGTTTGGTTATTGTTTTTCGTTTTTTACTTCCTCTTAATTTTCCATTTCCCTCCTCCTCCTCGCCACTTCCTCTCACGTCACATTACTCGTCTGTCATTTGTTTTCTGCGGCGGCCCAGTGTGTATACTACAGTTCTATCCTCATTATCTCTCCTCATACATGTCAACCTACGATCATCAACCTCACATACATTGTCATCTCTTTCATTCTATTTTAAGATCTCTTCAACCTGCATCTAACTCATTTTAGCTCATTTTCGAAATTGAATACCTTTGTAAATCTGTACCAATTTCAACTTTTTTAACCAATTTCCAACCTTTTTAATCTATTTTTAACATGTGTAACCTTATTTTGAACTGGGAGCCTTTTTCATCCCATTTACAAGGCATAAATAATTTGTACTTATTTCAGCGAAGTTTTTAATAATTTTTAGCTCATTTCGGCTTATTTTAGTGTATTTCGCCCCATTTTTAGCTCATTTCGGCTTATTTTAGTGTATTTCGCCCCATTTTTAGCTCATTTCGGCTTATTTTAGTGTATTTCGCCCCATTTTTAGCTCATTTCGGCTTATTTTAGTGTATTTCGCCCCATTTTTAGCTCATTTCGGCTTATTTTAGTGTATTTCGCCACATTTTTAGCTCATTTCGGCTTATTTTAGTGTATTTCGCCCCATTTTTAGCACTTCTCAACCTGTCAGCTTCAAAACATTTTCATTATTTTCTCTTCATTTCGAATCGTTTCTAATTTCTTGGCTTTGGTGGGGGCACGAGAGAGAGAGAGCGCGCGCGCACGCAAACCCATCATCCGCAGCTCCGGAAATACTGTTTTAGGACCTTAAGTAAACATCACGGGTCACGAATATGTATTGAATCAATAACAATACTGACTAACCGAGGATTCGAACCCGTGTCGTTTCGGCCCGCCTCACGATGAGCGAAAATCGCATGACTCTAACCCACAGGACCACGCAGTCCTACAAGAATCAACCATGAGGCAGGCCAAAACGACATGGGTTCGAATCCTCGGCTAGTCGCAGTGTTGTTATTGATTCAGTACCACTCCTTCGTGGTTACAATAATATATATATATAATATATATATATATTATATATATATATATAATATATATATTAATTATATATATATGCAATAAGATAATTAAAAACAGATATCACAATATGCAGAAACAACATGGTGAAAAAATAGTGAAATTCCAAGCGCTGTTGTGATTTCTCACCATTACCAAAGAACTGATAATGTTCCTTGATAATGTGAAAATCACGAAATACTTGAATCTCAGTATTTGTCACAGAGGTGGCCCGCGCGCCGCAGCGCGCAATCCCGCAGCGCGACACCACGTCACCAACAGCAACTGACAACACACACTACAATCAACAACACGAATCACTACACACACATTCACATATCACACAACACCACACACACCACCACAACACACCACACAACCACACACACCACAACAACCAACACACACACACACACACCAACACACAACCACACACACACCACACACACACACACACACACACACACACACACCACACACACACACACACCACACACACACACACACACCACACACACCACACACACCACACACCACACACACACCACACACACACACACCACACACACCACACACACACCACACACACACACACCACACACACACACCACACACCACACACACACACACACACACACACACACCACACCCACACACACACACACACACCACACACCACACACACACACACCACACCACACACCACACACACACACACACCACCACACACACACACCACACCACAACACACACACACCACACCACCACACCACACACACACACACACACACACCACCACACCACACACCACACCACACCACCACACCACACCACCACACCACACCACACCACACACCACACCACACCACACACCAAACCACACCCACAACCACACACCACACCCACACACACCACACCACATACCACACACCACACACACACACACCACACCACACACACCACACCACACACCACACAACCAAACACCACAACCACACACCACACACCAAAACACCACACCACAACACCCACACCACACACCACCACCACCACACCACACCCACACACACACCACACCACAACACCACACCACACACACCACACCACACACATACACACACTCTGGAACCCACACCTAGCCAAGCACGTAAAGAAACTAGAGAAAGTGCAAAGGTTTGCAACAAGACTAGTCCCAGAGCTAAGAGGTATGTCCTACGAGGAGAGGTTAAGGGAAATCAACCTGACGACACTGGAGGACAGGAGAGATAGGGGGGACATGATAACGACATACAAAATACTGAGAGGAATTGACAAGGTGGACAAAGACAGGATGTTTCAGAGATGGAACACAGTTGGAAGTTGAAGACACAGATGAATCACAGGGATGTTAGGAAGTATTTCTTCAGCCACAGTAGTCAGGAAGTGGAATAGTTTGGGAAGCGATGTAGTGGAAGCAGAATCCATACATAGCTTTAAGCAGAGGTATGATAAAGCTCACGGTTCAGGGAGAGTGACCTAGTAGCGACCAGTGAAGAGGCGGGGCCAGGAGCTTGGACTCGACCCCTACAACCTCAACTAGGTGAGTAGGTGAGTACTGTACATATGCTAGTCCTTTTATGTGTTTGACTCCTGTAGTGTACATATCAGCTAAGCGTGTACTAAACTGCTGTAAATGTAATGAACTGCCTCTTGACTGAGAAGGTAAGCATGTTTACAAAGATCAGCTGACCGCTGCATCAGCTGGTCTCAAGGACTGACGTAGGCAAGGTGCTCAGTAACGCTACTCAACGTTTATTTTGGTTCAGTTCCGGCTGTGACTTAAGTGTGTTCTCCTCTTGTCCTCCTTCCTCAGCTGTTTCTGCTGTCCTTATTCTTCTGCCTCTTCTCCTCCTGCTGCTTCTCTTTCTACTTTCTCGGATTTAGCTTCCTTTTTCTTCTGCATCTTCCTCTTCCTTGCCACGTGAGGCTGTCCCTTCCTCTCCTTGTCTTTTTCTCTGACTGTCTCATACTTCGTCATCAAGCTGTTCCTTGTTCATCATGTACAAAACGCGTAATACTATATCCCCCCAAATAGTCCCCCCCCCACCTTCCCCTGGCATGTGAGGTCACAGTCGTCACTATGGTGAAAGTTTTCCCCCTACTAGTCGTTCACACTGACTCCTGTGAGGTGGTAACCTGATGAA